TTGGACCCAGTACAGTGCTATGAAACTTCTTCACAGAGTTTGTGTAATATGGGTGAATTAACATCTATAAACAATAGGCTGTGTGAGAGGTAAAGTCACTGAGCAACCGCCACCTGGTGCTGGCGAAATACATGTCGACAAGGTGATGAAGACACCAAAGTGGAAGCTGTGTTTGATACAAAGTTGCCGATCTACAGTATAACTAACTCAGAGAAAATATTCATTAAAAATGAGTTTTTTTCCACTAACTTGTTGTGTTACGGAAACTGACAAACTCGTTTCCAGTATCATCTCTCAATTACATAGTTGAGCTAAGTGGTCACCACTCAGAAATTGTGTTCACACAGAGACTGCGCTAAAGTGCTGCTATGAAATCTCATCTTCATGCTGCCTTTGTATTTTCACACAGAACAAAATGCTGGCGGCATCATCAATCAGTGTGTGATTACATAAATGATTGCTGGCTGGCATCATGTAATCAAAAGAGGTGTGACAGGCATGACATATAACACGACAGCATCAGCCTCCAGACATATAACATATGTGTTGCCAGCACTTTATAAGCAATAACAATGGCATTAACATGGCAATAACAATCATTTATCATCGCTTTTATATGCCCACTGATCTCGCCCTTTGCTTGGACGGTAGGGAGCTCCCGGACCTCATTGTTTTCCCAATTTGCAAACATTTTCAGCCACTGTTCTTCTTTGAGTTAGACGCTAACTGCTAGCAGCTACTTTTTAAATGAAGTTAAAGACGAGACACGTGTATGGCCCCTAATTTCCAGAGCTGGTACCTGCGGTTATTCCACAGGCTAGTTAATAACATGTCGGGCAGGAAATCCAAAGTGTGGGATCATTTTGAGAAAGTGAAGGACGAACCCAAGGTGATATGTAAACTCATCTTCATTGGTCGACTACAAACATGACGTATCATCTGAAACATGGAAGTAGCTATATGCCCATTAGCCCACAGCGTCATTAACAGGCGGCTCGCTCAGTGTGTGACGTGCACTTGGAGATAAAATATAGGCCTATATTAATGAAGGTTCATTAGTACGGTTTTGTATTTCTCTGTAATGTAGCACAGTGTTAACAATGTTACTGATACTATTCTTTCTCACACCTTCAACTCAAACCACCAAAATATATCATTTAATCATTACATTCATATCAGAAACATGCAGGAGACTAGTCCACTGATGGACATAAATGACGACTGTTGGTCGACTAGGAAAATTCTTAGTCAAGGGCAGCCGTAGACCAAAGTGTAATTTTATTTTAAACATGACCATGACAACAACGAATCTACTCTGCAAACTTCCTGATGTTTTCTTAGACTAGAAATTAGCTTGAAAATGGCACACAGATGAGTCGGCCAGTTAAACTCGACGTGTGAACAGCTCCCAGTGGGCCGCAGCTGACAGATGTACATATCATGTAAAAAACGACTGCCTCTTTATCTCCTGGATGACTGATGGATGGGAGTCATGAGGACATCCAGCTGCATCAGAAATGTTGAGTGGGATGAAAAGCTTTTTGTTTTTTGTTTTTTTACTACTATTACATGTTGCCAACAGTTACCAGCTTTGTAAAGAAAAAAAATCTGATCCAAAATACACCAGACGAATTCACAGGGTGTTATAATGATGGAAACACTTGACCAGTGGTTCCGCTAACAACCCCAATTACTGTATTTCACCCAGCACAAAAAGGTAAGCTCTCTAAATAAATAGTTGCACCAAAGGGATTCAGTTATAGCGTAGGGCACTGGGGCAGTTTTTCATCAGACCTTTTAGTATTTCTACTCCCGCCTGCTTGGTAATTACTGCAGAGGCTGGGCAGATTTACTGTGCTTCTCGCCAGGCATCCGTGTCTCTGAGGACGTCTGTGTAAAAGACATAATGACATCTCCATTACATCAGCTGTATTTCGCAATTACATTTTAATCTGATCAATGAAGCCTGAAATACCACATAAGCACGGTGGGCTGTGTGAAGTGTGGACGTGTGTCTACGCAGGTGTTATACAATTATATTTAAGTCACTTCTTCACAGCTACACTGTGTGTGTGTGTGTGTGTGTGTGTGTGTGCGTGTGTATGTGTAACAAAACACAGGATTGTTCTCAGACAGATGTGTTTGCAGCGGCTGTTCAAGCTGTGACCTTTCTATCGCAGTTTGACATTTACACCACCTGACAACAGTAGAGCTTTGTACAGCAAACAAAAGTCACACGACCCTAATGACACCAAATATGTTGATACCTATATAGATAAGAGTAAAAATACGACACCACGCGCTCAAAACTTTAAAGACTGGGTGCTGGGACCCAGCATAGAACAATTTCCTGATTGTCCCATTTACATCGAAACTCCTTAGCTTCCTTAAAAAGAACAGGTGATGGTTTGCCTTCTCACTAGCCCTTTTTAGACAGGAATTGTGCAAATTTGCAGGAAAGCCCAATCAGTGTTCGTTCAGCATTGGCAGTTGTAGAAGCAAAAAAGTCAAGGTCCCGAGCCGGGCCAGTTAGCTCGCGACCTCGCTCCTTTCCTCTCAAACGGACTTTCTTTATCTTCCATTAGATATCAAAAACTCAAATACTCAGAGGTCAAAAAATCACTGGAGACACGTAGAATCAGATGCAACTGAGTTTAATGTGCTCGCAGGCAACAAACACATCACAACCCAAATGAGCCAAGCTCCGGAGCAAGGCTGGAATTTCTTTGTTTGCGCTCGCTCTTTTATCGTAGAATTTCCGCTGAGTCATCTCTTTTCCTTAATCCTTCTCACTTGGCTCTGATCATAACGATATCCCACCTCTGCTGAGTCACTTTTTCTCCACCATAATGGTGTCATATTTCTGCTGACTCAGCACTTTTTAGTCCTTCCCCCTCTAGGGTCATTCTCAGGACAAGCTGTAATTCCCCTAATTTTCCACTAGTGTTTTCTGAACCCATCCTCATGCTATTTTTAGAAATAATTCACAGTGAGTCCTAAGTGCTTCTCCACCACAATGCTTAAGTGCTCAATGAGTGTGTGTGTGTCATAAGAATACATGAAATATTAAACCAGTGTGTAATTTGTCAGTTGCACAGATTATATTGCTTCAACACATATCTTTTAAAGGTCAGCTAAAAGGTACAGCATATGTCTTCAGCAAATCAGTACATTACACTACACAGTATAAAAGCAAAAATGCCGACTACCTACTTTTGTTTATACAGAATGTGCCTTTTTCAGGGCAATGGGGGGCGTGAGCAAGTAACGAAACGTGTAGCTCAGCGTGTGACGTAAACAGTGACGTGGGAGGGAAGCCGCCGCTAGTCAGTCCTTCGGTGATTCTCTCATAAGTCGGCCCATTCTTCACCGTCCCCGTCATCTGACGGTTAATGGCCTCTTCGTTTGCGAGGACAAGGAGGGCGCGCAATGTCTCGTCTCCCCAGTTGCTCATCTTTACAGTGTCTGTCAGGTTTGTGTTTCCCTCTTGCTACTAGCTGCTCGCTAATTCCTGCTATCAGCTGTTTCCTGTTTATCCACCGCCAGTGGGTCGCACGTGCAGCGTCATCAACAGCTCCTCCCACAAGTCATTAACAGCCCCTCCCGTTGCAGAAGGACGCCTCAGTCTGTTTAATCCAAAAACGGTTCCGCCAATATGTCTACCCTACGAGGAGGAAAATTGGGCACCTCGGATCAACTCGCCAATCCGGCTCTGTGTGTCTAAACGCCTGCAGCTTGCCGGCAAAACGGCCCAACATTCGCCGAAAATCTGGCAGTGTAAAAGGGGCTAGAGATGCGGTCAGTGTTCACGCCAAAATTCAACTTTTCATCTAAGACAGTGCCCAGATACTTATACTGCTGCACTGCTGCCACCAGCTCCCCCTTGATCACACAAGGAACAGGAAGGCAGGGCCATCAATGAACATCTCACTGGTCTTAGACACATTAATCTGGAGGAAAGATTGGTCACACTAATCAACACATTCATCCAATACCGGGCCATGATGGTGTTCTGATCCATGAAGAAGACTTACAATAACAGAGTCGTCTGCATACTTAAGGACAAATCTTGATGCATGATTACTCTGACTTTCATTTGTGTACAAACAAAATAAAAGAGGAGAAAGAACTCATCCTTGAGGGGCTCCAGTAGAAGAAAAACTCTGAGATCTGTTTGTTAAAAAGTCAACGAGCCAACACACGATGCTAAAATTAAATTAAAATTAGATAAAAGTCCTCCGCTCCCCTAGATGCCTTATATGCAAACTGTGAGGGGTCCAGCTTGTCCTGTACAGAGTATAAGTTCAGATTTGACAACATGTTCTAATGTCTTCATAACGAGGGATGTCAGGACCACAAGGCGATAGTCATTCCAAGATTCTGTTTCTTGATGCTGAACCCTTCATGTGACCACACCTCAAAGATCAGAGGGTTCTGACTTGTTAATCTGGGGTGCTTCTGTTTGAGATAGTGTGCAGCATATTTTCAAAGAAATAGCACTTTGGAGCAGTTCACATTCGTTTTCGGGACACATGGCTGTTGGACAAATTGGGTTTTCGTCCAGTGGAACACTTTTTGGACAGTTGGGGTTTCAGAATAATGTGCCGTCAGAACAACAATGGGCAGTCCATGGTAACAGTTAGCCAGGCACCCTAATATCTGCAGCTTACATTAGAGCAGACAAAGACAGTTTGATCCTTTTTAATATCTTTGCTCTGGTGTTTTTGGCTTCAGTGACACCATTCTCCAAACTCTTTATATACAGAGTACTACAGCACTATGCACACAGCTTCAACATGCAGAGAAATTCAAAGTTTGACAGACCCGTCATGCTCTCTTAAATTAATACTAATCAACCCCTCATGGAATCAGTGAACAATCTCACCCAGACACAAGAGGCCCTTTGACTGGTTGGGGATGTATTTGTTGATTACATTTGTGACAGCTGTGTGTGTGTGTGTGTGTGTGTGTGTGTGTTTATGTTATGAAAGGAGACTCACTTGTACTGTGCCTGGAAATGTTCCTGGACGAAGCTGTGCTGGACTCTGGGCTGCTGGGTCTGGGACGGGTCGGGACACAGCACCTCCTCAGCTCCACCGGGGCCCTGCAGCACAGAAGAGGGCACCCATAAACACAACGCTGTCACACTCTCAGATTCCTCAGAGATCCATCATAGGGCTGCCGCAGCCTGGAGGAGCCTCGTACTCTATATAGTGACGGTGCAACAATAAATTTGGAAATCTCACAGCGGCTCCCGCAGAATGCAGCTGTAGCACATTCTCGCTTTTCCTCGGCAATAAAGCGAAATTCAAAAGTGGTGTAAAGCACTGACCTAAACATAAACCCCCCTGGGAAGCCCCCATCTTTACTCTTTCATCTGCTCACCTACAACAGAGAGAAGCTTGCCTTGGATGAAGATAAAAGAAGAGGAGAAGGAAAAGATAAAAACTAACAGAGACTGATCACTAAAAAGGCAAGGACACAAAGAAAATGTGTGGGATGGAACGCACAGGGGGCGTCTCACAAACACCGCTGTGCATTAATGATAAAAAACTAACTCAACAAACTTCTTTTACACCTTATAAAATAAAGTTTTACATATAATAATATAACTTACACTTGGTAATAATGATGCACAAATGTGAGTCGTCTATATGGTTTCTGACTAGCGAAGACATGCAGTGTGTAAAATGGACAAATCAAAGAAATATTTTAACATTTTGGAAAAATATTCTTATTTGCTTTCTCACCAAGAGTTAGATGAGAAGATTAAAACCACTCTTATGATTAAACAAAGAAGACTGGAAGGTGCTTGTAGGCAGAGCCGCCCTGATGCATGAGCAAACTAAAGCCCTGTTTCCACCAAACACTTTCAGTATGGTATCTTTGGAACCAACAACAGTAACCCTTCAGACATGGTACCTAGACCCTAGTGTTTCCACCACAAACAGTCCTCTTACTGTAAATGTGGGCGGGGTTGTTGTCACTCGCTGTATTTCCTCCTTTATCAGTCTGCACCTGGTTTATCGTCCACAGAACGAGGCTGCACCCCCACATTTTCAGAACCCAACAGAGGGGGGACCAAACGTAAGGAACAGTTCCACTGGTACCATCCACAACTTTTCACAGTGGCAATGGCGGTTTTAGGGGAGTGCCAGCAGGGGCCAGTGCCCCCGTAACTCGGAGTCCGGCCCCTCCTGTGGCCCCCCTGCCGAAGAGTCTGAGGGGCAACGTGGAACACGGAACTTAATCGTCTCAACTAGTTGCCGGTCAGACTCCGAAAACATCAGTAGAGAATTGTGTGGCTGTATTTAAGACAACTCTTAACCTGCACGGCAACACACAGCACCATTGAAGTAAGCTCTGAAAACTTTCTCTTTCTCATTTGGCTCATGGTAGTTGCATGTCACATCATGTTGATGTAGCCATGTGAAATACGATCCGGAGTTTTCATGGGTGTTTTACTGTGAAAATTGACCGGATACTCTCGTCTTTTCTGCACCTGACTTCCTGTTTGACTCATCTGGTCTGTACAAATTGACGTGCCGTCGCGCGGCGGCGTGTTTTTAGCGGAGTGGCGAGCCGCTTCTAGGCCACGGCTGGTGGACCTTACAGCTTACATGGACTTGAATGGCCGCTATTAGCTCCGGCACCTGTGCCTCGGCCGGATCGCGCACACCATGGTTCCAGTGGGTTGCCATAAATGGGCCTGTCCCAGAGGTATTCAACTACCAGAGAGCTTTTGAAATCTTCTTTTCAAAGGAAAATTAAATGCTCTGATTCAGGGTGCCATACTTGCAAATCATGAGGGAGGGAAGGAGGAAAGCAGTAATTTGTGTCTGTTTTTGTGAAATTAATTTAAGTCTTACCTTTTGTTTTCTTTTCGTATTGCGTATTTTGTATTGTTTTGCGTATCTGTAACTGTTTGTGAGTGAGAGAATTTTAAAAGAATATTTTGTCTGCACATGATTTAAAATAATAAAATAGCCCTCCATTAGTACGTTAGTCATTTTTCTTTTGATTACTGAAATGTTTAACCACTAATCCTTAGCCGTATTTTAAGTGTAACCCTTCACCATAACATACCACTAGTGTTTTTATCAGTAAAAATAGAACATTTTTCACATATAAAAAGCACAAATATGTTGAAATCGAGGCATATTCTGCCATCATAACTTCTCTCTCAGAATTCACCAGATTGATGTCTTTAAATCAAATAGATACAAAATTTTCTCCCGGGGAAGCATGCCCCCGGACCCCCCTACAGGGTTGGATGTAGTCTCCAAAAATCCTGTGGGAAACACTGATATACATATATATATGTACATATATATCTTATTGTTCAGACTTAGATATTTGACCCTACTTGTATGTGCCCCTGTATCAAAAGGACTGTCCCTAACTTGGCCCCCCCATTGAAACTGGCCTAGAACCGCCACTGCACAGTGGAAACAGAAAAAAAAAGTGTACCGAACTGAACTGAACTGAACTGAACTGTACTGCTCGGTGGAAACGGGGCTTAAGTGGCTGCTAGTGCTGAGTTCACACTCCAAGTGACACAGCAAGAGCGTGACGTTATCGCCAAATCGCTGTTGTAGTTTTGCTCAGGCACCTGTTAACCTAGCTACATCGTCCCAAGCTTGTGTGATTCTGCTACTTGCAACAATAGACCTCGACTGAACCTCATCTTAAGTTTGTATTTGCTCAAAAAAAATATCTATGCTCATTAAGGTTGAACCGAACACTCTGATGTACAGATAATGTACTTTTTACAAATACGATTAGTACGGTTAGTTCCTACCCCTACCTGGTTTAAGTCCCACCTACTTTAAGTTTAAACCCCGCCCAGTCTGACTACAGATAATTTAGTTGCCTGAACAGTCACAAATACAGATACAGGAGGGTCCCCAAACCAAATCCCCTTCAGGCCCTGGTGGTGGACAGAGCCAGGCTAGTCTCCTATGTTTGCTAGCTAACTGTTTGCATGTGGTAGCTTCATATTAAACACACACAGTGAGAGTGGTATCAATCTTCTCACCTGAATCTCTGCATGACAGCAAAGAAGCACATTTTCCATAAGGTAAAACTATTTCATTTATTAGTGAAATGCTGCGCAGAGGATTAAAATGTAAAAGTGTTATAATGACCCGTCACACTGTATCAGGTAGGATATATCTGTACAGTATTCACTCCATTTCACACCTCACCAGACGAGGATAATGTCCCGAAAAACATTCTTTCAGTCACCAAGTGGTTCTGCTTAAAAGGTCATCATGTGGCATTCAAGCACCTTGTTAGCCTTTCCCGGCTCGCAAGCTATCAGCCCCACAATAGCCTGGCGTAAAAGTCAGGTACTTGAGAATGCATTAAGTCATCATATCATTTCAGCTGTGCTTTTACACCGCGCTGGTCGTGCCAAACGGAAACGCGCTCTCCCATCCTTTTCTGTTGACACACTCTGTTTACTATTCCTGTGATTTCCAGCTCCTGCTCCCATACTGGCTGCCACTGTTCCCAGGCTGGCAGCTCGACCATGACCTCCGCTCACAAAACGGAGCTGAAAGGAGGTTTAGAATTTCTAAAAGGGAGAGGGAAGCGGAGGGCGTGTGCGTGCGTCTGAGGAATCGGTGTGGGACAGAGACAGACAGAGAGACAGGAGGGTCCTTTACAGTTCACCACCACTTCAAATCCTGCGTCCATTCTTCTGAGAGCATTTGAGCTTTGCAAAGACCGAGCGCGAGACTGAAACCTGACCCTCCTGCTGCACTGTGCTTCAACAGGCACGTACAATGACAAACCTCCACCCCCCCCACTCTGTCCTCTCTGCGTGGATGTCAGGGTTTTCCTATCGCTTAGTCATATTCTCCCACACAATGCCAGGACTGGTTCGACTGAGCTGATCTCCTTGTTACAGGTTCAGCCACAACATCCAGTATGTCATATCAGAATTTAAGTGGGAGAGGTTAAAGGGACAGTTCACCCCAAAATCAAAAATACACATTTTTCTTTTTAAATTGTGTCTTAACCATGAGATTGTCAGGTTTTTAAGGCAATTTGAATGGTGCCTTTACGATAGTCAGAGCTGGTTTACGGTGCATGGGATCACGTGATATAGAAACAGAAGCGTGGTGACTCACTTGAGTAGAAATCTGCACTCACTGCTGTGCATTGGTAGGAGCGCACAGCTGTCACAAGACATAAAACAAGTGCACTGACAGTAAAAAATATACTGTGAAAGAGGTTTTCGATGTCACCTTTGACGAAAACCAAGAGGATGGAAATGACAATCTCTAAGGCTGCTTTCAGACCTAGAGTCGTCTCCTTTGGTCTGAATCGGGGACTAATTTTATTCCAAAGTTGTATAATTGCCTTGAGTTGGTTCATGTTCTCACGGCAGCATTTACAAGAGGACCAGATCAAATAACTTGTGTGAGAAAACTGCTCTTGATTGGTCAGAATTTCCATGTGGGATGGGCTTCACTGTAACTCGCAGCATTCACAGACAAACACTTGTCTTTATCTGGACACATTTTCCCAACAAATACAACATGCTAACGTTATTAGCACAAGCCTATGGCGTTTTACATTGTATAAATTAGCCTAGCAGCTAGCAGACTTTTCCTCCTCTCATATGAAGCCAGGGACAACAGCAACATTTAACAAAGGTAACATTACAAAATTCAGCTCCATTACAGCTCACAAGGTTCACTGACAAAACAACTGTCTGATACTAAACACGTTTTCCAAACAAATACAACATGCTAACGTTATTAGCACAAGCCTATGGCATTTTACATTGTATAAATTAGCCTAGCGACTAGCAGAGATTTCCTCTGCTCATATGAAGCCAGGATAAATCACACACAAGACTTAAAATTATATTTTTGTGGAGGCTTTATTGTCTTCACAATTTATTGTTTCTTATCTGTGAAATTAAAGTAAATAAAAGCTTCGTTTCCACTGAGGGAAACGGTTTCAGCTTACTGGGGTGGTGCACATCAGACTACGGTGTAGAGTAATTGTAGAGCCTATGCTGTACGTATAAATTCCACATTACACTGAACAAAAACTGTGGTCTCCTGGGTGAAAGTCTTGTATTGTTTG